GTAGGTGGGGGGGTTTTCTGATCAAAGGCGCTGTGTTCTGGGAAACACAGGCATTGAGGCCGGCGTGGAGGAGGACAGAGGCTGGGTTGTGTTGACTGAGAGGTTGCTAAGTGAGGGTTAGAGTTAAACCTTAACCCAGTTAGCAGCCAGGATGTGGCTGTGGAGTCTGCATTGCACGAGGGCCCTCAGCGCTTGGCTGTGGTTGGCTGAAGGGGGGTTGGGGGCAGGATGGAGCTCACCTGATGCCCCTGGCCTGGGACTTAAGTCTGTGGAGGCACCTTCTTGTCCGTAGCAAAGGGTCCCAGCTGCAGAGGGAAGCAGGACAGACGGCCTTCTCCACCTCCGGAATCTTATCCCAACGTCACAGACTAAAGACCAGCCATAGTGGGAGCGCATTCACCTCCCAAGCCCTCCCCACAGCCGTCTCTGTCGCCCGCCGCCCTCTGGCCCTGCCCTGCCTCCAGCCCTGTGCGCAGGTGCCTTCCCGCTCCTTCCCCCTCACGTCAGTGGCTCCTAAGGTTCAATAAATAAATGCTCACCTCTTCCTCCTGCCCCAGGCTCCTCTGCTTAGCTCGCATCCTGTAGCTTTCTTCTTTTTCTTTTGTTAATCCTCACCCGAGGATATTTTTCGATTGATTTTTAGAGAGAGAGGGGAAGAGAGAAATATCGATGTGAGAGAAACACATTGATTGGTTGCCTCCTGCAAGCCCCCAACCAGGGCCTGGGCTGGGGAGGAGCCTGCAACTGAGGTACGTGCCCTTGACCGGAATCGAACCCAGGACCCTCCAGTCCGCAGGCTGACGCTCTATCCATTGAGCCACACCAGCCAGGGCACTTCCTTTTTCTTAAAACAGCTTTATTGAGATATGAACACAGCGCACCCACTCAGTGCACAGCTCATGGTGGGTGTTCAGAGCTGTGCAGCCTTGACCACATCGGGTGTGTGGTTTGACGAGATGCTTGCTGCAGGGCTGCGTGTGGCGTCTCTCGTCTCACTGCCCATCGTCTCGTTTCCTCCGCCCACCGCATTCTGGCTGCCGCTGTTCCTCGCTCGGCTCCGATCCGACGGCACTCGGCACATCCCGCCCCCTTTCCTCGTGGGATTGGACGCCACACACTCCATGTGGGACACAGTCTGTCCATCTCTGTTCATCTCTGTCCATCTCTGTAGAGCTGTATGCGGTCCACCCCAGTGCCCCCCAAGTCCTTCAAATACAAGACATCCAGCCGCGGCCACCTCTTCCCAGCCCACCTCACCCCCACCCGCCATGAACGCTGCCACCTACCCGTTGTGCGCGCTGCTTCCCGTTCCCAGTCCCCGTCTACCCGGTGGACGGTCCTGTTGTCTGTGCCTGACTCTGAATCTGCCTTCTTCCCGTCCATCCTGCCGCCTCTGTGCTGGTGTCTTTATCTCTGTCTTGAGCGCAGGCCTCTGACTGGTCTCTGCTTTCATGCTTGGCTGGGGCTCCTCTTCCTGCAGCAGCCACAGGTCCAAGCGCTCAGCCCCATTGCGATGTCCTCTCAGCGGCTTCTCGTTGCCTCCAGGACAGAAGCCAGACGCTGTATTTGTGTGTTTAGAATGAATGAGGAAACGAGTGCGGGAAAGTGCCTCCGAAGGCCTCACGTGGTGCCCTGACCATGGGCTGAGCTGTGTAGCTCGGAGCCTTGAAAAGAAGCACTTTCCCTCGGCCGGTGCGGCTCAGGGACTGAGCGTCAGCCTATGAACCAGGAGGTCACAGTTTGGTTCCCAGTCAGGGCACAGGCCCAGGTTGTGGGCTTGATCCCCAGTGGGGGGCGTGCAGGAGGCAGCCTATCCGTGATTCTCTCATCATTGATGTTTCTGTCTCTCTCTCCCTCTCTGAAATCAATAAAATACATTTAGAAAAACAAAATCACTTCCCATAGAAAGATCAGTAGCGTCCAAGAGTCTGTTATGTCTACGTCATTTGTGACCCAAGTTTTAAGATAGAATTGTTAATGCAAAAGGGAGCTCTAGGTGAGGTGCCGTCTCTTCTCCTACCCCGTAAGCAAGGGCGTCAGGCTTTGGTTCTCAATCTGTAGGGACTGCAGAAGCCCTAGTGCTTCAACACGGAGTGGAGTCGGCCTTCTCCCCCACTTCCTGCCTGGCTGTGGCTGCTGCGTCTATAACTGGGGGCCTCAGCCCTTTCCTGTGCACTGAGGCCCCCACTGCTTCCTCCCTCCCCAGCACTGGTGACCACCGTGGCCCGCAGTCCCGAGGTCCTGGGCGGCAACCATCTGGTGATCATCGTGGGCATCGTCTGCGTCACTGTCCTGCTGCTTCCTGTGCTCATCCTGACTGCGAGGAGGATCCATGGGAGTAAGAGGTACAGGCCGCTCTCGCCTGAGACGGGGGCTGGTGGTGCCAGGCTGCCTCTACCCCCAGGGGGGAGGGAAGACCGGCCCGAGCGGTGCCCTGTTCCCAGAAGGGCTGTTTCAAAAGGGAACGTCCTCTGTGGATGAAGTGGTGTGAGATGCCCTTGGCATAGTCACCCGCCCCTGCTCCCGAGGCCCATGCGCATTCCCACACCCGCCTCCTTTGAGTCGGTGTTTTACAAAGATTAGCAGCTCCTTTACAAATGGTGGTCTAGGTCAGCGGTTCTCAACCTGTGGGTCGCGACCCCTTTGGGGGTCGAACGACCCTTTCACAGGGGTTGCCTAAGACCATTGGAAAACACATACATAATTACATATTGTTTTTGTGATTAATCACTATGCTTTAATTATGTTCAATTTGTAACAATGAAAATACATCCTGCATATCAGATATTTACATGACGATTCATAACAGTAGCAAAATTACAGTTATGAAGTAGCAACAAAAATAATTTTATGGTTGGGGGTCACCACAACATGAGGAACTGTATTAAAGGGTCGAGGCATTAGGAAGGTTGAGAACCACTGGTCTAGGTGGTCTAGGTGCAGCGTAATTCAGAGTCTAAACCTTGCCCGGCCGGTGTGGCTCAGTGGTTGAGCGTCAACCTATGAACCAGGAGGTCACAGTTTGATTCCCAGTCAGGGCACATGCCAGGGTTGTGGGCTCAATGCCTAGTAGGGGGCGTACAGGAGGCAGCCAATCGATGATTTTCTCTCATTGATGTTTCTATTTCTCTTTCCCTCTCCTTTCCTCTCTGAAATCAATAAAGACATATTTTTAAAAAAATTTTAAAGAGTATAAATCTTAAGCACAAACTATAATGGTGCCGTTCAATGCCTGAGATAAATGATTAAAAAATATTTTTACTGATTTTTAGAGAGAAAGAGAAGGAGAGGGAGAGAGTGAAAATAGAAAATAGGCCAAAATAGAAAAAAGTGTATTCAATGGGAAATGCAGAAGGCAAATGGCCAAGATATCAAAGGCCGAGGAGTGGGAAGGGGCCAGAGCGCACAGTGGGGTGCTTGTGGGGTAACTCGGCTGGGCCTTTGACCTGCTTCCCCTGCTGGCCCAGAGGCACCTCCCTGGTCCTGGGAGATAAGCCGGTAGCCTGTCGCCCGGCTCTGTGCACCCACTTGCATGGTTACAGACAGAAAGTCAGGGTGACAGTGGGGAAGGGGGAGCTGCTGCCCGGCCTCTCGGTCTCAGGACGCTCTCTGCTCACCGGGAGGTGCCGCGGGCTTCAGCTTCGGGGTGAGCTGGGGAGGAGTCCAGGGAGAACAGCCCTGCCCTGGTGCCTCTTCCCCAAGCGCCATCAGCACCTGGACTGGCCAGTCCTGGCCGCTAACCGTCTGCATCTCCTGCCTTGCAGTTCCGGGACGTCCATGGCCCTGGTGAAGAGCCTGGAGGACAGGGACAAGCCTCCCCCCGAGGTAAGAGGAGGCTCTGCTGCTTGGCTCCCCGGCGAGGCCCAGTGAGCCCTGTGCCTATCAGGGTAGTGTTGTCCTCACTCCTGCACCCGCATCTCACTCATCCTGTGTCTCAGCACGTGGGCCAGCGGCTGGCACAGAGCCTGGCTCCGGCCTCTCACCGCTGGACTAAAGCCCCCGGCGGGGGTGGTGTGGGCCGCCGGGCTGCCCAGTGTGTGAGCGTGTCTGGGGTGGGGGGAGAGGGGCCTGAGCAGAGAGCACTGGACTCGGGCCAGACAGTCCCAGTGCGGGCCCAGCCCTGCGCCCTCTCTGAGCCTGTTTGCTCATCAGTAAGAGCAGGACAAGGGCACCCAGACCTGCCCTGCCGTGGGCTCAGGTGTCGGGGTGACACGCAGGTGCTTCCTAACGCCTGAGGCTGTGTGCACAGGAGGGGGAATCAGGGCGCATTGGGGAGTGTCTGGGGGAGCCCCTGGTTAAGGGGAAAACCCAGGCCCCTTAGACAGCGAGGACCCACCAGCCCTCTTCTTCCGCTTTCGTTGTAACAGAGCTGTGAATGGTTACAGCTAGGGACTGAGAAATGGATTTGTTCCTTTGAACTCCTTTTTCTTTCTTTTTTTAACTTTTAAAACCCCCTTTGGGATGTGGACTTCCCACCTTTTGTCTGTCTGGGCCCAGAGTGGGGTTTCCTCACACACAGGGCCTCCAGAGCCCAGTCTTCCACTGGATGACGTTGCTCCCCCAAGTAAAGACGGAAATGGGCATCGCCAGTGCCCCAGCCTCCCAGGTGCGAGGCTCTGAGAGGCCGACCCGCCACGAAGCCTCTGAAAGGCTGGACGACAGGTCAGGGGCTGGCTGGTGCGGCCTCCCCCAGGATTAATGAGGAGGAAGTGACCACGGAGTAGATCTGATTTGGTGAGATAAGCATTCGGGCTGCTCCCTCAGGCCCATCAAACAAAGGCTGTTTGGCAAAGAATTTGGTTCCTAAGATAGTGCTCTTTGCTGATGAGTGAATTTTCTTAATTTTCTGGAACATTGACGATGGAATTATCGTTATTGATGATAATTCTCTGGCTTTCAGTAACCCTCTGCGCCTGCCCGTGTGGGTGGCTGATGCCTTGTGAATCATACCAGGTGGCCTTTTCTCTGTCACAGAACCACTGAGCCCAGTGGGGGTGGATCAGCAGTTGAGTATCGACCCAGGAACCAAGAGGTCAGGGTTCAATTCCGGTCAGGGCACATGCCCAGGTTGCAGGCTTGATCCCCAGTGTGGGTGTGCAGGAGGCAGCCGATCAATGATTCTCTCTCATCATTGATGTTTCTATCTCTCTCTCCCTCTCCCTTCCTGTCTGACATCAATATAAATCCTAATATATAAAAACCCAGGGTCCGAAACAACCAACCAAAGGCTTGACCCAACACCGGAAGTCAGTCCTGCAGTCACTGTGGGCGTAGCGACCCAGCACTGACTGCTGAGGGGGCTGTGGATCAGGCCTGGAGAGAGGCCCGGAGAGAGAGGCAGGGTCTGATCTGCAGCCTCCATGGCAGCTGTTGATCAGCCGTTGCCTCTCTCTTTCTCTCTGGGCTTTGCCAGCAGCCACGTCTGTTTCTCTCTGGGCCTCCGACTGGGCTGCTGATCAGCCCCGCCTCTCTGATCAGGCCCGGAGATAGGCCTGGAGACGCTGACTGGCATAGAAACCGACCAATCAGAACCAAATCTGGGTGAACTGTGAGGAGCCAATGGCTGCTTAGGAGGTGGAGCTTTTGACACTGACTGGCATAGAAACTGACCAATCAGAACCAAATTGGCCAGCAGGGGAGAGAAGTTGGGGGCAACCAGGCTGGCAGGGGAGGACAGTTGGGGGCGAGATCAGGCTGGCAGGGGAGGGCAGTTGGGGCGAGATCAGGCTGGCAGGGGAGGGCAGTTGGGGGCGAGATCAGGCCGGCAGGGGAGGGCAGTTAGGGGCAATCAGGCTGGCAGGCAGAGGCAGATAGGGGCGATCAGGCAGGCAGGCAGGTGAGCGGTTAGGAGCCATCGGTCCCAAATTGCAAGAGAGATGTCCGACTGCCAGTTTTGGCCTGATCTCCCTAAATCGGCAGTCAGACATCCTCCAAGGGGTCCCTGATTGGAGAGGGTGCAGGCTGGGCTGAGGGAACCCCCCCCCCCACCCCATGCACGAATTTCATACATTGGGCCACTAGTATATATATAAAAAGTAGAACCACTGATTTTCAGGAACGTTTTACCATTTTCCCCTGTAGAAGCACGTTTACTCCTCAATCAACACGTGGGAGGTGACCAAGGAAGAAGAATCAAGTGACAGATCAGAGGCCACCTACATGACCATGGTGAGGAGGGGCCGGTGTCTGGAGGCGGAGGACCTGGGGGGGAGGATACGGCCCGGGGGGGGGGGGGATACAGCCGGGACCTAGATGGGGGGATATAGCCAGGACCTGGGGGGGAGGGTACAGCTGGGACATCGGGAGGATACAGCCCGGACCTAGATGGGGGGATATATGCC